GTTCAGCTTAAATAGTATCAACATTATTTATTTTCTCAGTAAGTAATTTTTCTCTTAATAGCTGAAGCCAATTAAAAATGTAGATTACTATTTTTTTCCTTTGATTAAGCAGAGAAATAAAAGGAAAGATGTGGCGGACAATACTAAACAAATCAAGGTTGTTATTTTTTTAAATATCTCTATGAAGCTATTTTTTGGTCCAGGTTTATAACCTCGATATATATTTAAGTTATTTCAAATCTACCATAGTGGCAATTTAGAAGACTTCCAAGACATTTTGAACACATGTTTGATTTCACGGTGATCTTTACACTAGAGAGGTGACCAACGCTGCTTCACACACTAGAGAGGTGACCAACGCTGCTTCACACACTAGAGAGGTGACAAATTCTGTTCACACTAGAAAGGTGACCAAAGGTGCTCACCCTAGAGAGGTGACCAACGCTGCTCAAACTAGAAAGGTGATCAATGCTGTGAGTCATCGTCTGCTGGGTGCCACTCTTGGTTTTCGTTGTTGTGTATGTTTACCGTGAGTACGAGCTTCCTCTGTGGTCGATGTCCATTACATATTTGCCTGGCGTTGAAGAAAAAGTTATAGTATACGAGGGACAGTGAAAAATCCCTGAAGAGAAAACGAATGATGGAACAAGATATGTCTAGGCTTGACCAAAAAAAAAAAAGACAAGAGAATTAAAATGACGTTTCAGATAAATGCCTAATTCAGCAGACAAGAAAAAAAGAAACACAATATTGGAAATGTAAAACTTATTCAAAGATACCAATGTAGCTCTCTCAAGTTCTGATTTGAAACGAAAGTGCTCTATGCTAGAAACGAAAGTGCTCTATGTTAGAAACGAAAGTGCTCTATGTTAGAAACGAAAGAGCTCTATGTTAGAAACGAAAGTGCTCTATGTTAGAAACGAACGTGCTCTATGTTAGAAACGAAAGTGTTCTATGTTAGAAACGAAAGTGCTCTATGTTAGAAACGAAAGAGCTCTATGTTAGAAACGAAAGTGATCTATGTTAGAAACGAAAGTCCTCTATGTTAGAAACGAAAGTGATCTATGTTAGAAACGAAAGTGTTCAATGTTAGAAACGAAAGTCCTCTATCTTAGAAACGAAAGTGTTCTATGCTAAAAACGAACGTTCTCTATGTTAGAAACGAAAGTGCTCTAAGTTAGAGACGGAAAGGAAGTTGTTCAAAACCAAAATATGCGTGCCACGTAATTCTATTGTGCGTTCCATCAAGGTAGATATAATTTAATTAAAGTGAGCGAGTTTAATAAAAAAAAAAAAATGCACATTCGGACCCAAAATGGTGGAAGGAAATACCTCCAAATCGGCAGATAAAATGAAAGAACAGAATTTCACCATACAAAATGTCACATACTTTCATCTCGCCATTGCAAACAAATTTCATCCAGCGAATGTCAACAAACTGAGCAAGTGAGCGCCATTAGCTGTCCCAGTATTTATTCAAAGCGGTGATGATGGGATGTTTTACAGAGTTTGTTCCCTTTAATGTCGCCATTTAAGGGAAATAAGTTCACAAACAAAACCACCTCATACATTTTAGGTTTGCGGATAAGCTTTTAAAACAAAGTGCGTGATACATTACTCAAGTTCCCATTGATCGTAGTAGGTAAGTTGGACTTTATTGGGTAGAAAATTGGAAATGTTCACATCCATTTAACAGAACTTAGAAACGTAATTGTTTAATATATATATTTTATAACGGTCTTAAATGTATGTAATCATGTATGTTCAGTTTGATTTAATTTGAAATGAGGATAGGCAATAGTTAACAAAATTGGAACATATTATTTTTCGAGGGGCGCGCATTAATAGCGGACAGCTTGATTAAACCTTTTTATTTCTAAAATAAATAAGTTTTAAAAAAAATTGTACTTACAGCCATCATCCTTAATGTTGAGCTGGATTGGATTATTCCGATGATATATCTTTGCATACATCTCCATAGCCATTTTAATATCATCTGTTTCAACATAATAAAAGTTATAATTCGGTTCTCAAGCCGATAAAACACAACAAATAATCATATCTCTTAAGTGTGGTTTGGCGAGTTGGTCTTTGGTGAGTTTGTCTTTGGTTAGTTGGTCTTTGGTGAGTGTGTCTTTGGTGAGTTGGTCTTTGGTGAGTGTGTCTTTGGTGAGTTGGTCTTTGGAGAGTGTGTCTTTGGTGCGTGGGTCTATCAATCCTATCTATCTATCCATCCATCCATCCATCCATCCATCCATCAGTCCATCCATCCATCCATCAGTCCATCCATCCATCAGTCCATCCGTCAATCCATCCATCCATCCATCAGTCCATCCATCCATCAGTCCATCCGTCAATCCGTCCATCCGTCAATCCGTCCATCCATCCGTCTATCCGTCTATCCGTCTATCCATCTGTCCGCCTGTCCGTCTATCTATCTATCTATCTATCTATCTATCTATCTATCTATCTATCTATCTATCTATCTATCTATCTATCTATCTATCTATCTATCTATCTATCTATCTATCTATCTATCTATCTATCTATCTATCT